TGTTATTATTATACAGAAAGTTTGGGCGTCTGATTCGGAAGTTTTGGATTCAACAAAGTATTGACGGCTAATATTATTCACAACGTGGCCCGGCGTTGCGTAGATGGCTGGGCAACTGAGTGCGGTACGGCCTTCGCCCGTCGAGAACCAAGATACCTGCTGCCACTTTCACTCAGCGACCGTACCACGAAATTAGTATATTAACGTCCATTAAAATTGTGGATATGGTATTTTTACTCCCTTTGAAATAAAATATACTGATAAAAATATAATTTTTCAAATTACACAGTCACTGCAAATGTTTAAATATTTTTATGTATACAATTATCACTATGATTTAAGAAATCAATATAAAATCTACTGTTGAATAGTTTATATTTTAGTGCTCTTGTCGGCGTAAGTAAATTCATCACAATATTCCAGATGTAAAATACTCAGACCGACGACAATTTGAATCGGCAAACGTGTATTATTTCTCCACTATCTCCAATCCACCCGCTATGCGTTGCATAATCTGTAAATCTTGGAAAGACTGAGGATCCCAGGTACACATATGAACTATTGTCGGCTGAGAAACAAGAAATTTATAGTAAACCGCAGTTTAAAAAAAATATAGATTATAAGACATTTTTGGATAGGCTGTTCGTGGCTGCATGTCAAAATACTTAAGTTTCAGATATTCATGAGAGCTGAGCGCGTAAACATTTTAACTGCTTTTTCTATATTTATGTTACGGAATCTGATAATATTGATAATTACTATTAATTGATTAAAATGTTGAGTATAATTGGCTCTCGATGGAATTTTATTAACTATCACCTGTCAATTTTAACATTCCATAATATTGAAACGGTTATTACAAAATTTATTCAATCTTATTACAAGACGTGGTTTATTGATAGTCTCGGGTATAAAGAAGATTTTGTCACGAAAGCCACACTATTCGCAAAATTTAACAATTGTTGTCAAATTCCATACTTAATATTTTTTATTCACATATATCCACGTGACTTTTTAATTGAAACAGACTGTAGCTTAAACTTGAGATTAATAAAACTTTGGGTGGTTTGCAGAAAAAGAGTAATAAATGTAAGTAGCTATCCAGGACACGATGTTAGTTTCCTAAGAACCTTAACCTAGAACCTAAACTAATTTAAATATATGTTTGTAAAGTATTTATATTAAAAAACTTACCAATCATGAATTTTTAATAACATGTATATGTTTATTCATGTCATTATATTATTAACTATTATTGCAAACAATTTCTAACCGTAAGCGCTCCTTTTCCCTATACGTTTTTTTACTAAACATGGCTACTATTAGTAGTCTCAAATTAGACTATAGTTCAAGAAGATTCCTTATCATTTTAGAATTTTATTTTATAATTTTAGTTCTCTTGGCGCGGAACCATAATCTTATCGAAATTTGACATTTGCTTTCAAACTCCGTAATTTACATTTTTTGTTAGCATATTTTTCGGAAGACATTTTTTTATAAACATACTCCTAGACTAAAAGAGTTAAGATTTTATAAAAATTTCGTTTTGGCGAATATTTAGTCTTATTTTTACGAAATGAACAATGTTATGCAGTGTACTTGTTTGATACTTTTTTATATTTGCCTTCAAATTACAACTTCATGTGACAGCTTCATTACGCAGTACCTTAGAATTTAGTTTCGGCACTGAGGGTCGGTTCGAATCGAGGATCGAATCCCGCGTTGAACAAGTATTTGTATGGTCAACAAATGTTTGTTCCGGATCTGGATATTTGTCCTAGTGCAATTTTTATACGGGGTAGAGCCATGCTGCAGTTATATTAGTAGTATAGTTGTCGCAAAAATGGGTCGGCTCGACCGGGGAAGGACCACGCTCTCACAGAATACTTGCGTAAAATAGTAGCTTAATGCTGCTATGTTTGTTATGGTGATTGTAGAGAACCGGAGACCCTTTTTACTGGAAACGATGCATTCCATCTTAGTACTCACGGGTGACAACGCATCTGCATTTTGATTTGTAATCGAGGATAGATGTAGATGTCTATGGGCCGCAGCAACCACTTACCATCAGGTGGACTGTGTGCTAGTTTGTCACCCTATCCTATAAAAAAATTAATCGTATGTCTAGACAAGGAAAAATTCTAGTTGCATACTAGGATACCTAACATCTCCAATAAGACGATAAAATATATGCAAGTATGGGGTACACAGCTTGCATATATGTACATATGCATGTAGGTATATATACATTCAGTTTCTCGACTTCACGGAGTCAGTAATTCATTCTTGGGGCAATGTATGCGCTATTACAACAAAGTCCCAGAAAATATACGAGGTCTCTCTAAAACCAAGTTTAAATATTTATTAAATAGAAACTGTATAAAAAGGGTTATTATGATATAAATGAATACATGGTTGATAATAACCCCCTGGGAATGAGGTGGTCGCTTCCAAGCTGTTTCTAAAACAAATTTTGTAAATATTTTGTGACCCTTGACATAGTAAAATTTATATAAAAAATGTTCTTGCTGGTTCTCCCCAGGACAGAGGTTTATTTTTTCGAACCAGTGGTATACGTAAAATATTGATTTTCAATAAGAATTACTTGTAATCTATATTGAATAAAAAATTATTCTATTCTTTTTTATTCTATTCTATGTACATATGCAAGGGTTGATTATTAGACGAGAATCACACAACTGTTTTTATTTCATGAAACTGACGTGACAAACAAATTTACGGCACGTAATCTGAACTCGTATAAAGTTTCGTAAAACGAAGCTATATTAACTTCGCTCTGCTCTCTGTTTGTCATTCTGTCCTTGTGTCATGTGTATGTCACGTATCTCTGGCACGTAGACGACATGGCATGACTTACAGACCTGTTTAGTTATTTTGTGTAGAATGTTGACACAAAACCGATTATTGATTGAAATACATATGAAAAAGAAGCCAAAAATTCTTTTTCTTAATCCTAATTATTTTTTTCTTACACCAGCATGTGAAGTTTCATTATATAGAGTATATCATCTATATCTATCAGCTCAATAAGACTTAATATGTAAAATACAAATAATTTACTTGTATTATTTTTTGTAACAAAAGTAAAGAAATGCGAAACAATCAAAGTGATCACTTTTAGACCGTTTTTGTGACGGGCTCAGTCACGAAAAACACTATTAGGATTTTTTTAATGATGTGTAAGGAAAATATATTATATTTAAGAGGTGATACTTAGTTGTCAGAAATAGGTCCCAGATTAGCATAATATGCTGTTTGTAAACAAACCAGGCTGCCCTACTATTGTAACTGTTTTGTATTTTCATGATCTCGACCCAAATCACAGTAACGTCCTTGCCTTAATGCAAGTTACTAATAAAATTAAAATTAGCATATAAACATAATAAAGGCAATACACTTTAGAAATAAACTTAAAACAACATGTAGATGTAGTTTTTCAATACAAACAAGTAAATGCTGGCAACATAACTGTAATTTTTTGATTTTGCTTAATCTTATAAAGTATGTTTTTTAACTTAGCTACAATTCCGTAGTTATAGCTTGACTAAAATGCCAACTGGTGTTCAGTTATTGGTATCATCATCTTGTACAGGCATCGGTATGACAGAGCGGCACGGACAGTATCATATGGCTAGCAACTATGGAAATATGCCTCTTATTAGGCAATCTATGGGGGAGGTCTATGTTGAACAGTAGACTTTTTAGACTATAATGAATGGTTCGTGACATTTTTTTTATAGGAGCATACAGCTCACCTGTTGAAGAACTGCAACATTATGAAGAAGTGCAACACCAGGGGAATTGTAGGTGCGTTGCCGGCCTTTTAGAAAGGAGTAAGCTCTTTTCTTTAAGGTCCCTAAGTCGTATCGGTCCGGATAAATCGTTGGTGGTAAACTATTCCACAGAGAGGTCGTACGCGGAAGAAAACTCCCAGTGAAATGTACAGTGGTGAACCGCCAAGTATCCAGATGGTATCGAGAGTTTTGCCACGAAGTGCTTTCATGAAATTTGGCGGCTGGTATTAATCCGAACAATTTTTCAGAGCACTACCCGTGGTAGATGTGAAAGAAATTGAAAAGGAATGACATGTTATAGACACGTAAAACTAAAATAATATATAGACTTTTAATAATATTAATGTTTCGTTAAATTTAAACTACGACCAAAAAAGTAATTTTTTTATAAAGTTGGTGATATCAATTAATCCCATCTATTCATTATAGCCCATAAAAGTCCACCGCTGAACCTAGATCTCTCCCTCAGATTGCCTCATAGGGCAATTCAAATTGCCTCATAGGGCATTGGCGGATTCATCCATAGTCGCCACGATGGTTGGTCCAAACTGGGGTTGCCACTTTTTTTTTTGAAAAAATATAGTATTTATCCCAAAACGTATACATAAATATAGTACTTTTCGTATTATTTTTCTATAATATAGGTATAGTACAACTGACTGGAATATATAGTACGGTACTATATAGGGTAGACCGAGGCGAATCGGATCACAGGGCGAATCGGATCAAAATAAGAAATCTGTTGATAATTCAAATATCGCATTCACATAGAACGCACTCAACCGGCGTTTTGCGTATCTCCTCTCACCCCGCACCTCCCGACATAGGCAGTATTTCGATCGCACTTGTGAATCAGTGGCGACGCCGCTAGTCAGCGACTCGGTCGTTTGTGTGTGTCGCATTTTTGGCGCTCATCTAAGGTACGTACTTACGATTTCTTTGTGTCATATTGCGGATTTGTGTTATAACTCAACTATATTGGTTTATATTGTTAAGCAAGGTGTCTATATTAGAGAACCAATTCGCTTTTAAGTATGATCTTAGAGGTTAACATCTAAAATATTTATTTCAAAAGTCTTGATTATGGGGCTAATCGGATCATATTGTCAGGGGCGAATCGGATCACACTTTTAAACTGATTTATGACATGTTTGAAGTTATTGATTTATATTTATTTCATTGTAGATGGTTCGCACGTACAGAAGAAAGGCTGATGCCGGAGAATGGTCTCAAGAAAAAATGAAAGAGGCTGTAAATAAAGTCCAGAACAAAGAGTTGACCTTACGTAAGGCTGCTGAGATTTTTGCAGTACCGTTCACGAGCTTACAGAGAAGAGTTACTTTATCCAGGGGTATTATTAAGCGTCGAGATGGACAGCCAGCTTTAGATGAGAACGCAGAAAAGAAGTTAGCTGACCGGCTATTGCACTTGGCAAGTCGTGGCTTCGGAATTACACCCAAAGCGGTACGTAAGTACGCGTTTGAATTTGCAGAACGTCAAAACATAAAACACAAATTTGACAGAAATGCTGGAATGGCTGGCCAGGACTGGTTTCATCGCTTCATGCAAAGAAATAAAAAATTAACTATTCGGAAGCCGGAGGGTCTGTCAAGAGCAAGGTGTGATGGTATGAAGAAGGAAAAAGGTAGCAGAATTCTTTAATACTTTGGAAACAGTAGTAGATAACAACAATTTAAGAGGAAAACCTGAATGTGTATACAATGTTGATGAAACGGGTATGCCGCTTAGTAACCGCCCACCCAACATTATAGCCCAAAAAGGTGCTAAAGATGTTGTCAGCATGACTAGTGTTGAACGAGGTGAAAATGTAACCGTTCTAGCCTGTATGAATGCAGCAGGACAGTACATACCTCCATTTGTTCTATTCAAAGGTGTGCGTAAACGTGACGATTTTCTCCTAGGTATGCCACCTGGTACTGAAGTTGCCATGACAGAAAACGGCTGGGTCACCGAAGAAGCTTTTAAGTTGTGGCTGCAACATTTCAATCGCTACCGGACCCCAGGAAAAGTAGTTCTAATTTTGGATGCGCATGCGTCTCACACCAGCTACTCAGTGGTAGACTTGTGTGACTCTTTCGAAATTGAACTTGTACTTCTTCCTCCACACACATCACATGCCCTGCAACCGCTCGATGTATCGTTTTTCAAACCGCTCAAAACCTATTATCACCAACAAGCTACAGCATGGCAACATTCACATCCCAATCAAGGAATCACAAAAGTCGCTTTCGGAGCACTTTTCCAACGGGCTTGGAATCAGGCTGCCACTGTTGGGAATGCTACAAAAGGCTTCGAAAAGACTGGAATATTTCCACTAAACGCCAATGCAATACCTGACCACAAGTTCATCGGTGATCAAGAGTCGGACATTGTAGAGTCCCAAGTCCAGTCCCCAAGTTCCCAAAAATGCAGCTACACGTGCAAGCCACAAATACAAAACCACTTGATAATATAGTGCCATCCACAAGTTCACAACAATCTGACGAAGCCCAGCCTCCCACCTGTGCAGAAATAATTAAAGAAATTCTTCCATCACCTTTAAAGTCACCAATTGCTTCTAAAAGAATTCGTAAAGTTTCAAAACTGGCCTTGCATTTAACATCACCTCAGAATAAGACTACTCTTCTCGAAAAAGAAGCAAAGAAGAAATTAAGGTAGACAATAAAACCAAGGAAAATAAGGAAAAGGCTGTGGGCAAAGAAAATACTATGAAGAAAATGAAGAATAAAGCAAAGCTTGCGATAAAAATTAAGAGTTCATCTCCAAAACATAAAGAGTGGCACTGCATTTACTGTTCCGAAATATTCGTTCATCCACCATCAGAGGATTGGATTCAGTGCAATGCCTGCGAAGAATGGTGCCACGAAAAAATGAGCTGATATGGGGGAGGAAAAAGGACCATATATATGTGAATTATGTGCCGATAATTAAAATTGATCTCATTATTAATTTTTTACTGATTCCAAAGCTATAGTCATAAGAAACTTAAAATTTTGTTACCTACATGTGTACGATCCGATTCACCCCGAAAATTGGGGCGATTCGGATATTTTTCTTTTTTTAGTTTTTAATAGCTAATTAAGAGAATATATGTATGATTTAAGTTTTCAAATGTTTATTTCATAGCTGATTGTTACTTCTTACGTTTTTATCAATAAAAATAACATTATATAACACTTTAGTATGATTTGCTCAACCTCAAAGAAAAAGTGATCCGATTCGCCTCGGTCTACCCTATTATAGTATGGGTGGCAACCCTAGTCGGAAACGAAGTATTTTATAATTTAGAGTTGCTATCAGAAAGGTGCTTCTGCCCATCTTGTTCAGTTACACCAATAACTGTACAGGATGGTCATGTAGTTGATATATCTATGGCAGTGGAAGGAAAAGGGGAGATCTCCCGCCGGGCAAGATGTTCTGCCCGGGGAGCGATCCGTGTGATAGTTATTTTTTTGCGCCCGAAGCAAATATGGGCAACCCTCCGGAAAGCGGGGGAGGGAGGTTGGGAATGCTCATAGCATACCACGCAGCCGGCTGCGTGGTTATGTGCTGACTTTTACCCACTAAACCCAACCTTTTAGGAACTGGCTTAACGATCTAACTAGAGATCTCTAAGCCGTAAAAGAACGCGACCCTCCTTGGCAGAAAGGAGGGCGCAAATGTGATAGTTTGGAGCTATTCTATATATATATTACTGTTTTCGATTTGGAACTTTGATAGCGCGATTCAGGCTACGATGTGTTTTCGCTTGTGGCGCGACGACAGCGCCGCCACATATCAATATATATATATATATATATATATATATATATATATATATATATATATATATATATATATATATATATATATATATATATATATTAAACCCTTGTTTTCTTTTAATTCTTCATCGGCCTATAAAAGTTCACTGTACATGGGCCTCTCCAGTTGGGGGAGGATGTTAAGTTTTGTTAAGGCGTAGTTAATTTACTCTCATTGCATATTCTCTGCAAGTCAACACAGGTTATAAATGATAAACGTGGATAAGTACAATTTTTTTTTGATAGAATAAGGGTGACAAATGAGCACATAGTTCAATTGATGGTAAGTGGACACAGATTATAAGTGGACGCTGTGGCCCATAGACATCTACGTTTATCCTCGTTTGAGAATCAAAACGCAGATGCGTTGTCACCCCTGAGGACTAAGATGACATGCCTCGTTTTCAGTAAAAAGGATCTCTGGATCTCTACATTTATCGCTGCTATTTTACGCTGGTATTCTGTGAGAGCGTGGTCCCTCCTGGGTCGAGCCGACCCATTCGTGCTACAACCATAGCATAGCCGTAGCGTGGCTCTATCACGTATGAAAATATCTTTAGCTTATAAATATGTACAGATTTATGCATGTATAATATATACTACATACAGATATTCAAAATTCTGTAGTCCTTTTTTCAAAGGGACCTCTTTCTTCTCAGATCTTTTATCATTCACAGACCAATAAAGATTTTTATCTTCATACTTATATTTATTGCAGAGAGACACATGAATTAATAAATAAATACATATAAATGAAGTAAAAATCGTAGGGTAGTAATTGCCTTCAAGTATTATTGTGAAAGAAGTACAAGGAGATTTGCATGATTAACATCATTAGTGAGGGTATTTTTACTTAAGGTATGTAGACTTTTCTATATGGAGTGTAGAAGTAAGGACTACAGACTGTGTATTAAAACGTGTCCATAGAAAACCGTTAAATAAGGGTGGCGCAACTATAGCTACGGTCTAAATTTTAAAGAACGTGCCGAAAAATATTAGTGGGATAGACGACTTTTTCGAGGGTATATTTGCTAAATAAAATTATTTTAGATTTTACTACTGAGCAGTTTAGCAGCACACTTAAACCAGCGAAAACTGCTAAGTTCATTTCATCCCAGTAGCTACTCCAGCGCTGTTGTGGAGAGTTTTTGAGCTGTTACTCTGCTGCTTACAGATGACCACTTTTTCAACTATTCTACTACGGGAGTTGGTAATCCTTACTTCTATACTCCATACTTTACTATTAAAGATGACTTGAAAAATTTAGTACTCAGCTGTAGAATAATAATCCTGAAAATGTTTCACTGCCGTAGTGCTTGATCATGGATGTAATAAGTAAATAGTTATCTAAAAGCCAACACACGACAACTTTGGATCATTTGAATTGAATAAAGTACCTACATGTTGCAACAAGAGCTGGTACACAATTACAAAATGCTGTGACTTTGATGAACAAGGAGAGGGGAAATATAATCTCAAATGGCTTAGCAAGATCCTTCGTTATGCCGAAAATATTGCAGCATTAATTTTGAAATAAATATATGGTAAAGTTGAGGATTAATGTTAAGGATTATGTTAGACAAAAACACGATTTCGTAAAATTTTCTCGATAGAAAAAAATCCAAAGTTACCTCCAAAATAAACAATAAACCGCTGTTATTCATAAAATACTTTAAATAAGATCATGAAACTTTGCATAATAACTGAACTAACTATAAAGCAGTGCTTTTGTTATTTACTTTTTTTAAAATACCATTATTTTCACTGTAAAAAAGAAATTACCTAAACTATCGGCCTTTTGAAGCGTGATTCCTGCCGCACGGTCACTTCGCTTCGGCCTTTGAACGGGGAGGTTGTGTCGCTTACGATCAGAATATACATTACGCAACAGGACGACGTAAAATTAAAATGGGAAATAACCGTAATAAAAATAAGAAGCGACTGGCTTGGCGTTAAGAAACAGGCATAAATATGATAAACCTAATGAAATAAGTGGCTAAAGACCTTTCTACTTTCAGTATTAGTGATTACAAACATGTCGGTACATAGCATACGACGCGCGGGCAAGTGGGGAGGAAATTAGAATTTGAGCTGACTTACTCTATCCCCTTAAGTTTTGAATGAAACTAAAAATAAGTATTTTCAAATTATTAAGCAGGCGATCCAACGTTCTTGAATACTTGGCAGATATCTTCGTTACATACATCAGTAATAAACTAGCACAAGTTTGGTTTAGATAGGTAGGAATTTTTTAGCGATGAAGGGAACGCAAGGCGGCAAGGCTAAAGGCATGATCTTAACCCCTAACTTCAGAGGTAATATCCAGTCCAGATCCAGGTTTTTTTCATGGAATAACAGCATGAAATCAAATTAGATTCCAATTTTCTGAAAAAAGCATCTTTAATTTCAATGTCAAAAATCTATCCCTGCACGTTTAAACGTTCTTTTGAAATCGACCAGTATTTACGAGTACAGCCTACGAACTATATACGGGGAATTAGGAAGTCGTATAAGACGCGTCCGTAAATATTATAATAGACATTTTTCTAGGAAGAATAATACATACATAAAATTGTTTCTGTACTAAAGAACGGCACGAGATCGACAGATGAAACAAAAAAGTGTTCTACTAAAACTATATGGATCGCATAACGGCCGTCATTCGCCGAGCGGGGCTTGGGTACATAGAGCGTGTGCGCACTCACTCCAAACCGGTGTTGCGCAATGCAAGGTCGGCGCCAAGGACGCGGGTTCGTTGCCAGAAATAAATTGCTAGACGATAGCGCCCCACGTCGCCGACACGCGGAAACACCCGCAAGTAAATAAACATTGGTAAGACCCATGAAAAGCCCAAAATATCTAAAGACGCTTCATGAAAAGTTTCGTGAAAATGTAAATTAATAACACCGTTTTGTAAAGAAATTAATGAATAAAATGTTATGGGGTAAATTAAAGTAAAGTAAAGTTACAGCCTATATACGTCCCACTGCTGAGCACAGGCCTCCGGCCATTTTTGAGAGGGTTAGTGTTGGCGAACTTCACATGACATATATTTTTTTTATTATTTCTCTGACATGCAGGTTTCCTCACCATGTTTTCCTTCACCGCTGAGCACGTGGTAAATCAGCACTTAAAATTGCAATTAACAATTTCATTGGTGCCGGCGGGGATTGAACCCGGTTTGCTCGTGTACTGTGAAATTTACAGCGAGCGCTAATCATCTGAGCTACCACGGCTAAAATGTTATAGGGTATTCATCAAAAACATTTATAGTAACTTGAGGACAAAGACCTGAATATTTATCTCTATCGTAATATAGCTGTACTGGGCATGTGGTCCAGGGTTCGAATACCGGGTAGGACCAAACTCAGCTAGTTTCGTACTGTGTTTTTCACTCACGAAATTTTCAGTGGCAGCCCGCAGTACTTCGTGAATTTGGGCGTCGACTGATCGTATTTCACACTCGTTCCGTGTGGACCCATTGGTCCTGCGTCTGATCTCTCTCCGATCGTATCAGATTGCCGCCTATTGGACCATGAATGTGAGACAATAGAGAGTGTACCTGTGCTTGCACATACTTTTGAACACTTTAATCCTATCTTGCGCAGATGGCTAGTCTCCGTAGAGACTGGCCGCCGTGTGCGTGAACTCC